GGGATGGCAACAATCGGACACTTGTGAGGTTCTTCGCGTCGCTCAAAGACCCACGACGACTCACACTTCACGTGCTAAGAAAGGAGCCTCGGCCACCGCCTGCCGGCAAGGGGCGGACGCCATCAGAGATTCAGATTACATGAATTTGTAGGGATCCAGTCATACCTTCTCAGCAGGTGATTGGAAACACTGTTCTGTAATGTTCTGTATAGTTTTGGATCCCTAGGGTAATCAGGTTTTGGTCGTTGGGGGGGCCTACGACCCCATCAGTCGTGGATGTCTGAGTCTGGCCCGGCAGGGCCGTAGCACCCTTGCAGCACTTGCAGGTTGGGCCGGGTGTTTTCTTCCTATAGTTAAGGGCTGCAGGAATGATACAGTAGAGAATGGCTCAAGGAGATTTGGAGTGGGAAAGGCACTTGTTGGGGGGCCCACCCCAAAAAAAAACAAGAAAAAAAACACACACCCAGCTTCTCTGAAGGAGATCCATGGCGTTTCATGGTGCCGTGCTGCTCCCCCACGGCCGCTGTTCAGCCCTCCCCTCGCAGCCTCTAGTTCTCGAATGTCCAGCCTCAGCGCCTCAGCCGCTTGGGGGGGTCGAAGCACTGCCACACCGAGTGGTGTGGCATGTGGAGTGTGACCGAAGTCAATCCATCGGTTCATGGCCTGAACGAATCCCTAAAGCTGGTTATTGGCTGATCCATGGGAAAACTGGGGACGCAAAAAGCCAGTCGCGCTGTGGGAAGGTGAGAAACCACCCCACCAGGCACAGCCGCGGATCGCCTCCGGAGACCAGCCCCCACGCCCGGGTGTCCCTCCGGCCGCGGATTGCCACGAACAGTATACAGTTTTGTCCAATTCAAGAGCTTGGTGCAAGAAATCAGTACGAGCGACTCTAGATTGGCTTAACGGTTTAACGCGTGTGAACAAAAGACATGGAGCGCCGAACAAAAACCTCAAGGTAAGTCTCACCGACCTGTGCTTGATGTTCGTTCTTTCTTGTCTTCGTACCGTGGTGTGTCACCTCAAATGAGTGCACCCTTCTTCTTCGTGGGGCTTCTGGGCTTCCCTCCATCCATGCCAAGGTCTCAAATGAATTCTTTTCGGTGACATCATCATTCCGATCAGGTACTAAGGTACTAGGTATCCTGTTAGCAATCCAACATTCCTGATTTGGTGGAAATAGCGAAGTAGGATTAAATAGGTGCCACCTGCATATGCTTGCCAGTGGCCGCTCGTGAGGCTTGCAGTGTGGCTGCGCCAGTTGGAAGAATGCAAGATTTCTTTTTGCAATTAAATTGTCCTTATTTCGTCGGTTGCTCACAAATGTTTCTGCGGCTCCATTTTGTGACCGACATATCCCCACTGCAGAATGCAGACTCTTGATTCATAACCCCTCATTCAGATGGTAGAGCCTCTTCATATGAGGGGGTGATCAATCAAGAGTCCTCATTGCTATTGTTACTTGTTCCTCCTGGACCTTCCAGCCAGCTCTGGCCACTGGCTCGCCAAGAGGCCTGCTTCGCTTCCTTGGCCTGCGACCAGCGGCTACAGCAAGCATGGCATGTGATGGCAAGGGGTCCCCCAAGTGGGCGAGAAGCACTTCTGATGTCCTGTCCGAACAGCCAACCCAAACGCTCAAATTAGATATTAGATGGTATTATACAAATGATATTATATAGATGGTATTAGGGGATGTTTGCTTCTGCTGCACTAGAAGAGCCAACAATCCTGAAGATGTTTTAACTCCTCGCGGGCAATCTGACATGAAAATAAATCCATATAAATCCACCACATTCCACCAACTCAAAACAGGGATGTAAGGGGTTGGAAACCCGCCCAGGCCCGTCGTTGGGACCTCCGACCAGTGGCGGGTGCCGATGAAGAAGAGATGGTCACTAGATCAAGCTTCACCTTCTCAAAAGTTCTCTCCTGGACCCGTGCTGATCACAAGAAGAAGACAAGCAAGGACCAAATCCATCCGAATCCGCATCGCGGCCCGCCACAGGTTGCGGCGGTCAGGGTCACACCCCTGCGGACACAGGTTGCGGAGGCCTCCCCGCCCCTCTGCCTGCCCCTCGCACCATGCGTTGATGCGCTTCAGCCTGCTTCGTCCCCGACCGCCGGAGCTCGAGTCATTTGAGTTCAACAATGCGATCGGTTGAGTGTCGGCGCTGTTTGTGTCAATTTGGTGAAAGTGGCACGCATCACAGCCGAAGGCAATTCAGGTAGTTTTGGGCATGGCATGCATGCGTGCAGGCGTGCAAAGCCATACGACATAGGCCCCAGCACTCTTGAAGGCAACTGGCGTATGCGATAAATCCTTTGTCGCAATGGGTTCTTTTCTTGCGCTGATGAGTGTGCTTTGCAGAGGGCGCAAGCGAGTGTCCTTGTGGGAGGTGATACGGGAGGCAACTGGAAGACTTTACCCCTAAAAGTCGTGTTGAGTTTTTTACTGTTCACCTGGTTCTTGATCAGCAGACTCAGCAGACTCCTTCAAACAAATGGTTTCACTTCAACAATGGTTTGATCATGGTTGATCAAGACTTCCGATCGAGACAGTTGACTTAGTTGACTTGGTGTTTGACCGTTTGGGTTCAAAACAAGCTACCAAACACTCACTTGCTCCCAATGTCGATGTTTCCCCTCTTGCGTCTTGCCCCTCCAGCAGGCCCCGCCCCCCCCCTGCAAGACCACCGAAGCGGCACGTGCGCCGAACGAACGACCAATCTGGGACCAGGCCACAGGGCTCCATGCTGCAACTCCATCTGCTTCATGGCTGCGAGGCGATCCGCCTTCAACGCTTCCTGGATCCACCTCGGAGAACGACGGCTGCACGGTCGCCCCGTGCGGGCGCGGGGGTGGAGGTGGACTTCAGGAGGATCCCCACCTGAAGCCTCTTCAGCCTCTTCAGGTTCAAACAACGAAGTTCCATGGTTCTTCTAGGCCATTTGGGAGAGGTTCACCAAAGGCCTCATGCAAGTGCCACATGGCATACAGCATGCAAATGGCATAAGCTCCTGCACCGGCCACAAAAAGGACAAAAGTGATGCCTCCGTCCACACTCGCCCGCAGGTGAACCACGAGAACTGCAAGGAGTGACTTCTCTGTCGCCCCCGAGTTTGGTGGACACCATGGTTTGGTGGACCAACACAGCTCCGCGACCTGGAAGTGGACGCCAAGTTGACACATTCACCATGATTCACCTCTAAAACCCGCCCCCAAACGCCCAAAAAACCGATGCCTTCGCCCAAGACGTTCCCTCCCCCCAACCCCGAAATGGGCAGTGATGGTCCGCCATGTGCTGCCCCAGCTGCGCAACACCTGGGCGGCAGGGTGTTGAGGTGGGTTTTTCTGGCTCCACGACTGTGACAAACTATGTAACTCTCTCGGGCGTTCCCTGGTCCTTCCAGGGACGTTGATGGGAGTCTATGGATGCCTCAGGGGCTCTTGTCGGTGCATGGGAACCCCAGTTCCCCATGCATCCATCTTCGATCTTCTCCGGCAAAATGGCTCGACTTCGAGCTCGTGTCGTTCGAAAAATCGGCAAACGAGACCGACATAGACGATAGGACCGAACTTCTGGAGCTGATCCAATGAACATGTGACCTTTCCTGCCACTGCTGTGTTGCAGCAGTGTTTCACAAACTCTGGAACGTCCGGTGGTTCACCAAACGTATCGACCCAAGGCACTTCGGGGTCCCTGCTCCGGCTGCGGCATGGCGGGTCCACGGTGACGGGACCGCGGCTTTGGAAGGCGCGGCGATTGGGCGTCGTCGACGCCCACGCGCGGGAGGGCCCGAGCTGGAGCCCAAGCAAGGGGCATGAGTTGACCCCAGGCCAAGCAGCGTGCCGCATGGAGCCACAGCATATATAGACCCCCAAGTATGATATTTTACTAGGGTGGTCTTCACTATTTTAATTCACTTGCTTACGTTTTTATAAAAGACCACCCAATAAATATACAGGTTTGGCAGTTTTCTAATTAATGTTTTTTTAGATAGAAAAGTAGATCCCCACTAAAAATCTATTGGAAACTATATTTTTATCTGTTTGGGGACCACTGTTATAGGGGAAAAAAGAGAATACAGTAAATAAGGGCGCATGTAATATGAACCTCCAAATCCTCAATTCTGTCGTTGATCTTCTTCGTGCTGCCCAAGGATACCTTTGCCTGCTTCTTAGGTTGACTTGATTCGGCAGTCTTTTTGGGAATATGAATATGGCGTAATTTTTTGGCATTTCCTGTGGATGTGAATCAGGTGAACAGGTCGGCAGGCAAAGCATTGTAGAGCATTGTCATTTTGTTGGGGCGTTCTTAGATTCTTAGGGCCAAAGGTTCTCAAGATGGTGGCCTGTGCTTTTCACAAGGGTGCTAATAAGCATGCATGCCAGTTGGAGAATGACTTTCGATTCGTTGCTGTAAGTCTCATCCCTTATTTTCTGCTCTGGGCGCGGAAGGACCCCCCTGCCGAACACAACAAGAATGAACTCCGATAATTGCATTGGCCAACTTGCAAGTAAGAACGTCTTGGACTTGGAAACCTCTCCATCTTGATCCCAAGGAATCTCCCAAAACACCCGAACACTCTTGACTGTGGAAGCTGTTGTCGAGTTCCGCTTTCTGCCTTCCCAACATTTGGTAGGCCAGTCAAGCCAAAATTCATCAAGCAGGAATTCCAAGTGTTTTGGGGGTGTGGAAGTTGCCTAATGTTTCGTCTCACAACCACCACCAAGTAGTCTGGCCTTTTTGGAGCAGTGTAGGGCCCGAACAGTCCTACAGGTTGCTTCGTCAGTTTGTGGTTGCTCGCGGGCTGCTCCAAACGGTCGCCGCGTCCGTCCGCGTCCTTTCCAGAAACACCGCAGTCTAAGGCTAAGGTGGCCATGGAATTGAAGTGGCAGCAGGGTGACTCCCCCACCCGACTCCGCGCCACCCAACCGACTCCGCGGACCTCGACGGTCAGCAACGCAGCCGTGATCGAAAGACCGATAGGCCTCCGGGCGAGGCGGCCGCGAGCTCCTGGGCCAGCGGCACTGCCAGGAGAGTCAACGAGGTAAAGGTCCAGGCGCTGTTGGCCTCAAGGGGTGGCGGTGGGGGCTGGCGGTGGGCACGGGGCCCAGCTCAGGGGGATCGAGCCAGGGATAGATTGAAGGAAGTGCGGATGCACCCATGAAGGAACACTCATGCAGACTGTTAAACCCCTCTGCCAGAAGGGCTTTGCTCTCCAGATAGGGAGATTTGTTTAATCATGTTTAATCAACATACTACATGACATGAATGAAATACATCGATATAAACCCACCTCTTCGGAAATCCTGGCTGAGATTGGTCGCCAGGGTCACTCGAGCCCATCTACTCTGACCCCAGCTTGATCACTCGGCCGTCACATCCATTTCAACCACTTATATAACTGCTTGCCGGGTGATAATCTTTCATGATCAGGGTCAGAATGTATGATCCAGGTGATCCTTCACGATCCACCGGTTCCTCTTCAAAAGGGTTGGAACCTCCTTCTTGCACCACCTGACCACCACAAGCCCCGTGAGACGTTCTCCGTTTCTGGGCCTAGGACCAGTTCCTGAAGCTGAAGCTCGGGCATCCTGGACCGCACTTCCACCTCGTTTGGGGCGCTTGTAATTCATGGGACGCGGCGTCCGTCCACACGGGACCCCACCCGTCCGTACTCCAGAGGTCCAAAGCCGCACACGGAATGGATTGGGGTAGCAGTGCGGAACGAGGGCAGTTCCTAGGATGATCCCACCACTACACTACCCTCGCTGGGCCCTCACCATGCCGAACTGCCATCCCAAACCTGGCTTTAGGCTTCCAAAACCTGGCAAAAATGAGCCACTTAGTAAATTTAGAATATAGAGAGAGAGAGAGAGAGATTTCACGTGATTTCACCTTAGACCTGGGGGCCCACGTACATTTTGAACGTGGCTCCAGATACCCTGAATGCTACATTCTTACCCTGGACAAGAAGATGACCCAAAAGGAACAACGGCGCCCTCGCCCTACACCCTGCATCACCCTCCCAACCCAGTCCACCAAAACGCTGGCCCACCTGGATACTATCCATCAAAGGCGAAGACGCCAGGCCCACTTGTCCGAACCCCCAGGCCTCAGACGGACCGAACATCCGACGGACCGACGGACCGGGCAGTGTCACAAGCCATGGTGTCGCACCAGCAGGGGTGGCTGGGGAAGGATGCTCAAGGTGCCAGGTGCACCTGGTGTCTCTGGGTGACATCGGTTGTAAAATGATGCTCCAGGATGCTAAAGGTGCGAAGGTCTTACTCTCCTTTGAGTTTGGGGGGATGTCTGAGTCTTGGTGTGTGCCCAGCATCTTTCTATGCCCTCGGCTTTAGTTCGCCCCAAGATGCCGGCATGGGCTTGACCCGCCTGCCAGTGGTCAACCGTGGATACCTGTGAATCATGCAAGGTCTCGGTGGTCCGACTGGCCCGGTGCACCATCCAAGGTTCAAAAGCTCCATCTGGCAACCTTCAACCACCCCACACCACACCGCGCTGCTCCTTCTTTTCCGGCCCACATCGCCCAACCTCGCACCACCAAGTGCTCTTCTTCGCCCAGCGCTCGCGCGTGGAGGCATCCCAGGCTGTGCACCGACCCCTTCCGCCGCGCGCTCTTCTCGAGCGCGGCGGCGTTTCTGCGGCGCAGCACGGGGACGGCCGCGCCGTCCACGGCCGTCCTGGGCGTCGAGCACCCGGTGGGACTGGGGTGACTGGAGTGGTGCATGGATTGGGGGACAGAAAGCCGGACCAATCATCGAAGATTGTGTTCTTTTACCATCATGACTCATGTCCAAGCATCCATGCTTCTTGCAGTTCACTGACCTCTTGCAGTTCCTCCAAGAAGAACTCCTGGAAGGTTGCTTCTTGCACCCAGCACACGGGTGGCTTGGGCCTTCACATCAAGAAAGCTACCGTGCTACTCTCCCTCAACCGGAATGGTTCGTAGCATGAATCGTGTGCCCTCAACACCCTGGTGTCTGTGCTGATGGATTCGGAGCTTCAAATATATAGTTCCGAACTTCCTGCATGTCCTGACAAACATCACCCCACACAGATTGTGCGCTCATCGACCAGCAAATGCCCAAGCCATACTGGGCCCATTGAAAATAGATACCAAGAAATTATAGTGACCTGGTGACCTGCTATTGGCAATACTGAACCAAGAACGCGAGACCCTCCGAAGGTGAACCTGCTTTCGAGACCTCGTATCACCAACCCAGCCACACCGCCTCCCTGTTTAAACAAGTCCAAAGAATACTGTGTAAACCATTGGAAAATAAGGGAAAAAATGGAATATGGTTTCCGTTTCCTGTGGTTGGGGCACATCCCGATCATCCCTTTCCCATCTCCTGGCCCATCCGCACATGTACGCCGATCCGACCTCAACTGGTCGGCCACGTGATGGCAGGTCTGAGCTCTTCAACTCAATGGCCACATGACTGGGCTCACGATCTGCGTGAGTAGGCACCGTAAACCAGCCAGGGACATGTGCAAATCTTCAGCTGTCTTCGACTGGGAAATGCAATCATCGATAGCATGAACCACACACATCTCACCAGGGAGCGTCCACTGTTCTATGTTGGGAGCACTTTATACTACACATCTACAGTATACATGAAGGGATCCTGATTGGAAATGAACGAAGGTCCAGGTCCTAGGGCCTCAAACCAACCTCTGCATGTGCATGTCCCTAGAACCCAATTGGCCTCGTTTTTGATAGGACAATTGCCATATTTTGGACAGTTGATCCTCCAAAAT